TCCTGGGTGTCAGACTTGGACTTTGTACATGCCAGAGAAGCTCAGTCCCTTCATTGTCCTCCATCTTAAAAGACTCATATGGACATACTACTTCAGTATTTTGACAACAGTGAAAGGTATTAGCTCCTTTAATGATACTATTCATTGTGAGAATTATAATAGCATTATTCCAGATGGGTAATATGATATTGTCCATAAGTTCAGATATTGCATACAGAAAGGTTTATAATTTTTACTGAAGTACTTCAGTGTCTCCTTCTGAAAAAGATTTGTAGTTTATTTAGACTATGGAACATTAACATCTCCTTTATCTCATTAATGTGAGAGAAAGGGTATTGTTACATTTTCTATTTAGAATATGCTATGGACTCATTGGCATCATACAGTATATCTTGACTGTTCAATTTTTCCCTGTTTGCATAACTTCCTTGGGAAAATCTCAGGGCATGTAATTATCTTTTGACCACATTTTTGAGTGGATATTTCAGAGTGTTTTACCAGAATTTTCTCCATCTTCTTCCTTTCATTTGTGCAACTGAGACCATAAAAACCATACGAGTAATCAAGTAATCTGGGGCTGCATGGTGAGTCACCTACCTAGTCAAGGAGGGCTTAGCTTTGGATCCTCACTAAGGGCATATTGAGTTTTCCAGAAAGACTGCTGTACTTCTTGGGTCCACAGACTTTGGGGAGTATAGAGTCATCAAAACTCTCTATGGAGAAGCACCTGTTTCTGTAATGCCCACAAATTGGCATGTGTTAGAATTCAGGAACACTTAAGAACTGATGACAGTAGGGATTAGAGGGCATCTCACTTCAATAGAATCTTTTCTTTTCCAATTAGAATAGGATAGGTTTATTATCAATGTTCAGTCATCCATATAATATAGTTACATCACTTTGTAAAAGGCCCAGACACATGAATAAAATTACAGTGCAAGGAAAATATTGTAAAAATACAAATGCTATATGTTTTTCAATGAGCTCTACCTTTAGACATAGTAACATCCAACATATCATTTCACAAATAAACTGTTTTCTTGAAGATGGCAATAATCAGTAATATCTTACAAGCCATAGGTTGCCACATAAAAAACTTAGTGCCTGGTATGAGTTCCTCCTCTAAAGTTGGTCATCAGAGGTGTCTCAGTGACCTTCTCCTAGTAAGATCCTATTTCTGGATATACCACACATATTGGTCATAGTACATGGAGAAATTAAGTTGGCACTGACCCAGGAGCTTCCTCCCTGCTGAGTAGCTCTCATACTACTAGAAGGTGCTATAAAGGCTATGTGTGTGTGTGTGGGAAGGACATCAACAATCTTACCCAGCTATGAAAAATGTTAACTACAATAATGATCAGTATAGCAAGATATACCCATCATTGGTATAATATTATGGGGAAAACAAACCACTTTCTGATTGCATTTAAGGTCTGTTCCACAGGAGGAAACTTGTCTACTGGGCCAAGAACTCCATGATTGGGGATCTCTCGGGCCTCAGTGAAGGAATTACTTACATTATTTGCTAAATGAACACCATATCAAACTAGCATCTAAATTTCTGTCAGAGCTTATTAGTTTCTTAGTGCATGGATTGTGGTTAATGCAGAAACTAACAAGTGGTCAAGTTTTGTTGTTGTCTTCTGAGCCAATGTATAAATGGGTGTAATATGTTCATTAAATCTTGTCAAAACTCTGTGTGAAAAAAAACTGTGTGTGTGTGTTAGAGAGAGAGAGAGAGAGAGTATTTGTGTGAGTGTGCACATGTATTCACACTACAAATCTTTTAGGGAGTATTGTTGATTCATCATCTTCTGCTTGTGTATGGTAAGAGGTACATGGAAATGTTCCTGTCAAGAGATCAAAAAGCCAGTTAACTTCTAAGTATATAAATACTTCTGCAGATGATATTTGAAAGAAGCTTTTGGACTACAACAATGTTTAGCATGGCAAGATATGCTTAATTGTGCAATAGCGGCACTTATATCAGTCTGAGGTAGATGTAAGAGCTGGTGTCTGGCTGCTTTGTTTCTCTGATCTTTCAGCTTGAACCTCAATATCTGTCTCTGGGTTTATAATATTCATGTTACAAACAACTAGTCAAAATGTAGAAAATAGGTGATCATGGGTGCTCAGTCCTGATTTGTACATCTGAAATACAGTCTTTACACCTAAGGCCTAGGGAACACCATAGAAGAGTCCTCAGAATAAATCTAAGAGCTAAAAGACCAGGAAATGACAGAGGGAATGGAGGATACCAGGTGAACAAGGCCTCCTGAGTCAACTAAGCAGGGTATATAAGAACTCACAGAGACTGGAACAAGCACAGGGCATACATAGGTCTGTACCAGGTCCTCTGTGTATATATTATTGCTTAGTATTTTATAGGACTCCTGACAGTGAGAACAAGTGGTCTCTGACTCTTGTGCCTGCTCTTAGAATTCTTTTCTTCCTGTTGGGTTGCTGTGTCCAAATTTGATGTGATAGCTTTTCTTTATATTTTATTTTGTCATGTTTGGTTGTTATATCTTAGAAGCCCGTTCTTTTCTAATGAGAGTCAGAAGGGGAGTGAATCTGGAGGGGGAAGAGGTGGGGAGGAACTGGGAAGAGTAGAGGGAGGGTGAAACTTTAATTGGGGTATGTTGTTTGAGAAAAGTGAAGGGTTTATTAAAAGATAAAGCTACCAAGGGGGAAGGTGCAATGTAGAGCAGGCTTTTAATTGATTGTGTTCCATAAAAGAAAAGAAGTACAAAGAGAAGGTAGACTATACTATTTCATAATATAAATCTTTGCAAATCAGTCCTCAATAATGAAAATGGGCTAATCAGTTTAATTCTCTGAGAAGCCAACAGTGAAAAATGTAATCAAGTAGCTATGAAAGAGACCCAAACAAGTGGGTGCAGAAAAACAATGCAAATGGGTCTCTGTGGCTCCCTGCAGGTGCTAAGTGGTTCTTCATGTGGATATGCTCACTCAGTTTACCAAGCTCATTTACAGGAAGGGATGGGTCTCATAACAGCCAGCAGCTCACTGATCCTCTGCATCCTATGCCACCCCACAAGGTGAAGCTCCCGCTAATGGCTTACTTGTATCTGCATTCTGTAATGCCTCCTTTTCCTCTTTGCCTCTACATCTGTCCTTTAAAGTTCTCAGAGCTCTCTTTGGAAGGTGGGTGAATGCTCTCTTACACAGTTTAGTGAAAGTTTTAATCTCTTCCCTGGCTCCTCTGCAGAATGCAACACGTTGTCTAGAATCCCAACAACTTAGAAGATAACTGGGAGGCCGAAGACCTTTTTCTGACAAGTTCAGAATTGTGAACCCATTGAGTGTGATGACTATATTTTGCTGCGACTACTAAGTGCCATAGCCGAAAGACTAAATAGGTCCTGCAGGCTGGTGATTTAATACTGTCACAGGACAATGCGGCCAGAGCAGTGACTTACCATTCACTGGGGGGTGGCATATTCACATGCAAAAATGCAGAAAGAAAGCTAAAAACACGAGGTTGAACATTTTGACAGGGTTGGGGACTTGGTTTAGAGAGGGGGGGACGGATTTAGGATAGGTTACTGCTGTATTTATTTTTTCAGATACATTCTTTTTTTAAGATGGGCCTTACATTATTGTTCAGCCTAATCTGGCACTCAGGGTGATCATCCTGCCTCAGCACCCTGAGTGATACAATGAGACATGATGCCCAGTTACTTGCCACATCATTTCTATCTAAAATGAAAGACTAAAAGCAGTAGAATGAGATTAAAAAATTGACCATGGGTGTGCTCAACTCAAATACAGGTTCCAGAGTCAGAGTGAACATCAAGAGGCATTTCCTCAAATTCAAATTTTGTGGCTAATGGCTTCCACCTACTTTAAATTATTTCCAAACCTGAAAAATGTGTTTTTCCATTTTTCCTAATAGAAAGGGTGTGTGTGTGTGTGTGTGTGTGTGTGTGTGTGTGTGTGTATGTGTGTGTGTGTTTGATCCTTGCCATGTGCTCATGAGTATATGCCTACCTTTGCTTCTCTGTGCTTGTCATAAAACTTGACAGAAATACAAGTTTTACCAGGAAGGAAAACATCTTATGGATTATAAATCCCAACAAAGTGTGCTTTTCAGGTAAGAGCTGACACCTTATGAGATCTTATGAGGCATGCCAATCAAAGAAAGCTGGAGGCCAGCCTAGTCACCTCAAATGGAAGTGATCTGTTTTTGGGAAAGCCACATGAGCAAGAAAGATTTTGTGTTCCTGTCATTGTCTTTCTGTGAAATTTGAAAGAGGTGTTACTATGATATATAATACATAATATAAAACCTGAAGTAATTAAGCAGTTGTATATATATGGAGCTACTCATTGGTGCAGGGTAGAAACGGAAGTGCTGTTTATTATTACATTAAAGGTGCTTGGTTGCTAGTAATATTTCAGTTCAACAAATGATCTATTTGTAGTTTTGACTCCAAATGTTAACTATTGTATCTGTGTGGCACACTGTAACCTTTTAGTATGATACTATGAGAACTATAAGTCTAGAGAGAGAGACAAATTAATATCAAGTTTCTTAAATTAGATGTGGAATCCATGGTACAGCAGAGTTAAAACTAAAATGAAGAGAAGAATGAAAATTCTTTGTCTATTTTATATTGCTAATAGCACAATATCATAGACTGGGTAAATCACAAAGGAAATAGGTTTATTTTTCCCAAGGTCTATGAGGATGAGCTTCCTGCTGGTAGAGCCCAGAGGCTGCTGCTCAGTAGAGAGTTCTCCAGAGCCCTAGCCAATCTGACTTTCATGGTGGACCAATTTTGGAAACGGTACTTAATTTAATAATTCCAGGAATTATTCCATGTGTTCACCCAACCATGAGTGCAGAATCAAAGTCACTGAAGGGTCCTGCCTGGTTCTACTTCTTCTTGTGATGGACAATTTATTTTAATATGATTTCAGCAAAAAGCCCCTATTCAAAATATGGCAAGAGGTAAAAAAAAGCTACTCACAACACGTCATTCAGAATCTTCTTTAAGACAGACATGGAGTCATCATCCTATGAAGCAAGAGGCAGACCTCCATCAATGATGAGCAATGGAAGATACACAATGTCAGCATCAGATAAGGACACCTCTCAAATCTCCCTTTCAGCTCAAGCGCCAGTGCAAAGGACCTGGAGGATGATAGCAGAAGTGACAACATCTTTATGAGATCTCACAGCGACAGTGGCATGCTCTCGACTGCTGTGAAAAAGCTCTGAGGGAAAAACACACTCAAAAGTATATGTGTTCTGCCAAAATATACTTTGGAAAGGTATTTGGATTCTGGATTTTATCTGTTATTGTAAGTTATTGCTTAAGATTCCTGTGAGGCATGAGGAGGTTGTCTAGCCTTGTCCTCTCAGGAAATGTCACCATCACACCACGTCCTTCCTTTCAGAAGAGGAACTGAGGTCAGGAGTGTTCTCGATGTTTTCTGGATATTTGATAATCTTCATTCCACCTTTATCTTGTTGGGGAAGTCCTGTGCATTTGTCAATAAAGCATTGTCTGGCCAATAGGGAATCTAGATAGGTGGGACTAGGAATCCAGGAGGACTCTGGGAAGGAGAAACACAGCAGAGTCAACATGTAACGCCATGGGGTAGGAAGCCCGGAACTATTCTCCGGTAAGAAACATACTTAGATTAACAATTATGGGGTAATTACTTAAGTCAGAGCTAGCCAGGAAGAAACAAGCAAGGCCAACAGCTTCATAATTAATACAGCGTCTTGTGTGCTTATTTGGGGACTACAAAGCAGCAGAGCCCAGGCAACTGGCGGGAGATAAACCAAAGCGGCTAGCAAGGAAAAAGCTTCTCTTTACATTATCTGATATTTTTCTCCTGCTTATTTTATCCAAGGTCCTCCTAATAATGTGAATTAATGATTTCCTTGATTAATTTCACTTAGGAATTAAGATGCCAAGTAAATGGATGCATTTAAAGAGGAAAACTTGTGAAATTATTGCACTCATATTTTTGAAGAATATTAATTTCTTCTTCATTGTGCTTTTTGTCTATATAGGTTTTAAGTTTCATATGTTTATTTTACATGTTGTCTTATGGGTCTATGTAGAATTTGGGTAAATTGAGAAGTGGCCATAGTTCTTATCACAGAATCGAGGGTCTATTTTTAAATGTTATCATATGCAAATATCCAAATTGGTAGACTTTCACTGATTATCACTGCCAAGATCCTATTGTACAGAACAGGCAAGCCCAGATAAGCATCATTCTCTGCAGCCCCTGCTTCACTGAGGCTTATTTCTGTCTGGGAATGGTCCACCAGATGGAACACTTAACACTATCAGCACCCCCTTCCTCCCCAATATGCTGCTGTGTAGGAGAGAAAGCCACTCAATAAATGGGGATGAAAGATGAGCAGGACGGGGGCTTCTTTCAGTAAAAACTTTAGCACTTACAACCAGCAGGCAGGTGGTTTAATTAAAATATTTTGAAATGAACATAGATTTAGGTATCTCATAATTTGCTTGGGTAATTCCCTTTGCTGTCATACAGCAAAGTTACGAGTGTTCTCACCACACGGCACCCTTCCCACTACCACCTGCTCTGTTAATTCCAGTGACTCTACACTTCAGTAATGTGAACATGAACACAGACGCTGGCTCCTCAAGTATTTCTGTTTACCCTGAAGGCCATGGAAATTCCCACAACTGGTCCCACAACTCATTTCCTTTCCATGTTTCCTGCCTCTGACAAAGAGATTTTGTAAATAAATGAAGGACCATGTTATTTAGATGCAGGACTACTCTGTCCTGTTTGTGCCTAGTTTTAAAATAGATACTGAAAGCAAAGTCAGCCACCTGCTTTCTGCCTCAGTTCACTCCCATTATCTAATTATGCCTCCAGAATTTGTTTCTCTTTTCTTCTACAAAGTCATGTTTCATATCCATTCCCTACTATATCCTTCTGTCTGTGCATTACATAGTGTTTAGGTACAGTCACCAGGAATTTCTTCTTTCCCCAAGCAAACCTTCTGGCTGGAATAAACTGGAGTGTCTATAGACACTGCTCAGATGTTGTTCATACAGTATGTGTAAAAGCATTCCCCCACTACATTTTCTTTTATATCTATACACTCAAAATGTGTGATAACATTTCATTTAAAGTAACTAAGTTTTTTACTGTAAGGCACACATGGACACGCACATTGTCCTTCACAACTGTTGTACCATAAGCATGCAAATCAATGGAAGACAATGAAAGCTATTTTGTCAGCCAACAATACATAATATTGTACAAATTTGGATGTGGTACATTAAGAAGACCTCTTGTGACCAATAGCACATATCTGTAAAGTGGCTGGCTGGTTTGCGAATATGTTACATCATATCTCTCTTCCTCTGTGAAGTACCTGAGAATGAAATGTCTACAAGTTTGACCAAACAACAAATAGACTGGACCCCTTGTCATATAATAATCAAAACACCAAACATACATAATAATGAAAGAATGTTAAGAGCAGTGAAGGAAAAAGGCCAAGTAACATATAAAGGCAAATCTATCAGAATTATACCTGACTTCTCCATGGAAACTCTGTAAGCTAGAAGGTCCTGGATAGATGTTCTACAAACACTTAGAGAGCACAAATGCCAGCCCAGACTACTATACTATACTATAGATGGAGAACACAAGATATTTCAATATTCCATTATGTAAAGAGAAGCTTTTTCTTTGAGAGAAGCCTTCCCACCAGCCTGGTTCTAGAGCCGCATCAGTCCCAAATAAACACACAGGAGGCTATATTAATTATGAAGCTGTTGGCCTTGCTTGTTTCTTACTGGCTAGCTCTGACTTAAGTAATTACCCCATAATTGTTAATCTAAGTATTTCTCTTACCGGAGAACTTTCCGGGCTTCCTACCCCATGGCGTTACATCTCGACTCCCTGTGTTTCTCCTACCCAGAATCCTCCTGGACTCCTAGTCCCACCTATCTAGATTCCTATTGGCCAGCAGTGCTTTATTGACTTCCCCAACATTCCATTGTTTTTTTTCCTGCTGACTAGCACTCCATTGTGTAAATGTACCACATTTTCTCTATCCACTCTTCAGTTGAGGGGCATCTAGGTTGCTTCCAGGTTCTGGCTATTACAAATAATGCTGCTAAGAACATAGTGGAACAGATGTCCTTGTTGTATGAATGTGCATCATTTGGATATATGCCTAAGAGTGGAATTTCTGGGTCTTATAGTATAAAAATGAAATGATATTTACATGTAAAAAATGCTGGCAAATCAAATCCAAGAACACATCAGAAACATCATATACAATGATCAAGTAGGCTTCATCCCTGGGATGCAGGGATGGTTCAACATATGGAAATTCATCAATGTAATCCATCATATAAACAATCTGAAAAAGAAAAACCACATGATCATCTCATTAGATGCTGAAAAAGCCTTTGACAAAATCCAGCAGCCCTTCATGATAAAGGTCTTGGAGAGATCTGGGATAACAGGAACATACCTAAACATAATAAAAGCAATATATAGCAAACTGACAGTCACATCAAATTAAATGGAGAGAAACTCAAGGAGATTCCTCTTAAATCAGGAACAAGACAAGGTTGTTCACTCTCTCCATATCTCTTCAAAATTATTCTTGAAGTTCTTGCTAGAACAATATGACAACAATAGGAAATCAAGGGGATATAAAAAGGAAAGGAAGAAGTAAAACTTTCACTATTTGCAGATGATATGATAGTCTACATAAGTGATCCAAAAAATTCTACACCAGAACTCCTACAGCTGATAAACACCTTAAACAAAATGAAAAGATACAAGGTTAACTAAACAAAAATCAGTAGCCTTACTATATATAGACAATAATTGTGCTGAGAGAGAAACATCACGCTTTATAATAAACACAAACAACATAAAATATATTGGGGTAACTCTAAGCAAATAGGTGAAAGATCTGTATTACAAGAACTTTGAGTCACTAAAAAAGAAATTAAACAAGGTACCAGAAAATGGAAAGATCTCCCATGCTCTTGGATAGGTAGGATTAACATAGTAAAAATGGCAATCTTACCAAAAGCAATCTACAGATTCAATGCAATCCCTATCAAAATCACAACACAATTCTTCACAGATCTTAAAACTTTATATGGAAAAACAAACGATCCATGATAGCCATAACAACCCTGTACAATAAGGAAACTTCAGAAGGCATCACCATCCATGACTTCAAGCTTTACTATAGATCCATAGTAATGGAAACAGCTTGGTGTTGTCACAAAAATAGACAGGTGGATCAATATAATCTTATTGAAGACCTTGATAGTAACACACACACCTATGAATACCTGATCTTTGACAAAGAAGCTAACACTTTACAATGGAAAAAAGAGAGCATCTTTAACAAATGTTGCTGACACAACTGGATGCTGGCATGCAGAAGACTGCAGATAGATCTGTTATCTATCACAGTGCACAAAACTTAAGTCCAAATGGATCAAAGACCCCAACATAAATCCAGCCACACTGAACTTCTTAGAAGAGAAAGTGGGAAGAACCCTTGAACGAATTGGTACAGGAAGCAGCTTCCTGAACATAATATCAGCAGCACAGATACTGAGATTGGCAACTAATAAATGAAACTGAGAAGATTCTGTAAGGTAAAGGACACAGTCAACAAGACAAAACAGCAGTACACAGAATGGAAAATAATCTTCACCAATCCCACATCTGACAGAGGGCTAATCTTCAAAACTTACAAAGAACTGAAGAAGCTAGTCTCCAAAACACTACACAATCCAATTTAAAAATGGGGTACAGAACTAAATAGAGAATTCTCAATAAATTAGTCTAAAATGGCTGATAGACACTTAAGAAAGTGCTCAACATCCTTAGCCATCAGGGAAATGCAAATCAAAGCAACTCTGAGATACCATCTTACTCCTGTCAGAATGGCTAAAATAAAAAACACCAATGACAGTTTATGCTGGAGAGGATATAGAGAAAGGCGTACACTCCTCCACTGCTGGTGGGAGTGCCGAGTTGTACAGCCACTTTGGAAATCAGTATGGAGATTCCTCAGGAAAATAGGAAAGAATCTACCACAAGATCCAGCCATTCCACTTTTAGGCATATTCCCATAAGATGCACAGT